GAGAGACGTGAATCCCAATCCAGATTCTATGACCTGCTAGGTGACCTGCTAGGGCTAAGTCACCTCCCTTTTCTGAGCCTCCGTGTCCCATGTTCCTAAGCAGAACTGTAAATTGCTCACATAAAGTGAGGCAACTTCATGATGCTGATCCCTGTGTCACAAAGCTGATGTCCAGAGAAGTCAGGTGATTCGCCCGTGACCACACAGCAAAAGGGTGGAGGCGAGAGGGTGAGGGCCTGCTCCCAGGCAAGTGGCTGGTTAAGTGAGCACCTTGACGTTTCCCAGCTCTGCCCTGGCCCCCAGCCCTGGCCCCTTTTTGCCTGGGTTCATTAAATGCCTCACCATGTGAAGGTGAACTGAGCCAAGAGGTCCTCACTGCTGTGTCCCCAGTGGCTCACCTGGTCAGCACTGTGGGCAGCTGCTGGGTGAGGGCTCTGTGTTCAGATGGGCTAATGTCCCATCCACTGCAAAGCTGGGAACCTACAGGCCCCAGGGGTGAGGGTGGACATGGGTGGTGACCCCAGAGGAGGAACTGGTCTAAAGGGTCAGGTCCCTGCTGGGCTGGAGGTGGGGGTGCCAGGGAAACAAGTCTGCTCACCCCCAGGGGGCTCCAGCCCTATGCCAACTGACCCACCAATAAGGACTCCCCTGGCCTCTGCCATCTTTGTCTACACCATTGAACCTTGGGCTCCCCCATCCTGAGCCCCATCCATTCACTGGGTGCATGGAAGCTTAGGGAATGTGTGTTGGTCACTCCACCTGTGATCGTCTAGACAGGCCAGGGGTCAGTGTATGAATTCCAGGAACTAAAACTCCATCCCGTCTCTGCCCACCCCCTGCAGTGAAGCACCCCCTGCCATGGGAGGAACAGAGCTGAGTGACAGCCTATTAAATCTGTTAAATAAAACAAGTGTGACCTTCCCACCTTGAAAAACATAAAATGAACCACATGTATAAAGGTATAGTTTTTTTGTTGTTTGTTGTACTGGGGATTGAACCAAGGCACACTTAACCACTGAGCCACATCCCCAGCCCTTTTTTAGATATTTTATTTAGAGATAGGTCACACCAAGTTGCTTAGGGCCTTGCTAAGTTGCTGAGCCTGGCCTTGAACTCAAAATCCTCCTGCCTCGGCCTTCTGAAGTGACAAAATATCAAGGATGTCTGAAGTTATCGTTGCTCAACTCTGCTTGGTTTATTGATGGGCTGGGGATATTTGGATAAATATTAAGACTTATAATTTATTATTACTTATTTCAGAACATGTTTTATCTTCATTTTATCAAAATCACTAATTATATTGTTATAATCAAGATTTTCCTATTATTTGTGCTCTATTAATGGCAATAACCTAAAGGGCTAGAAGTAAAATAGGATTATATTTAAAAGTATATAAAGTTGAGGGCCAGTGGTGGAGCCTAGCGGCAGAATACTTGCCTAACCTGCACAAGGCCCTGGGGTCCATCCCCAGCACCAAAATAAATGTGTAGAATTTGAACGTATGTCCAATCCAATGTAAACACAGGAACATTTATTTAAATTTTCAAAAATTGTTTTTTATAATATCTGTTAAAATTAAAACAATATACATCAATTGACATCAGGTTTTAAATAAAATTATTTAGAGATGAAATACCAATTCAAAAACTTTAAAGATTTTATAAAAATGAGACTATTCAGGGCTGGGGATGTGGCTCAGTTAGTAGTGTGTTTGCCTTGCATGCAGAAGGCCCTGGGTTCAATCCCCAGCACCACACACAAAAAAAAGAGAGAGAGACTATTCATAGTTGTAGTGTTCATTGTCCATCTTATTGCCAATTTAAAAACTAGTATCACGTTTTTATGTTATGTTGGAACAATAGGAATTGTTAAATACTGTAAGATTCCTCAGCCAACACGTGCATTTTTTGTAAATTCCACACTAATTCATGAGTACTTTCAGAACCACAAAATGGAACAGGAAGAAATGCCAAAAAAAAAAAAAAAAAAAAAAAAAAAAGGATGCTCAGCATTACTGGAAAACTGATACTTGGTTATGCAAGAAGCTACTGCACGTCGCTGTCAGAGAGACAGGAGTTGACAAGTTAATTTGTCTTCCCTCTGACTCTTTTTGCCCCTCTGTGCCCCTCCACTTTCCCTCGCCTCTGAGGCAGCATCCTCCCCCCTCAGCAAATGACCTTCCTGGCATCTGGACAGAATCACCTTTTGTTGTTCAGGTTCAAGAAATGGAGAAGAGTTCGGCTGGGGCCTGAATGGTGTCAGGAAAGCAAATGTTTAGGATTACAGGTCACGTGGATGTCGCGTGACAGGACTCCTGTGTGAGTTCTTTAGACGTGTGTGCATTTGTGACCTGTGGGGTGGGAGGGGGGTGCTCCTTTCCCCATCTAAGGGTGGTTCAGGGAGTGGGTCTTCTGGCCAATGAGAAACCCTCTATCATACAACTAGCAACAGATAAAGGATGGGTCCTGTGCTGCCGCTGGAGTTGAGGTGTCTTTATTCAGCCATTTCATTCAGGTGTGTTTGTTCATTCATATAAACAACCTGCACCAATGCTCTTGCACCAGTGTTTCATCTCTTTGTAGAACGCCAGGCCACAGGAGGCTTTTAGTGCAGCCCATGATCCTACAGAGGTTCAGAGAAGGGCACTGATGCACCTGAGATCACTGCCAGGCCACAGCAGGAAAGCCCCCAAGCCAGGTGTCCCAAAGCAGAGGGTGCAGGCCACGTTTGAGTTTCTGGTAAAATCTGAACAGGTATTGCTGTGTCCCATCAGCTTTCCTTCTTTCATCAACTTCTACTTCCTGTCCCAGGGTCCCAGGGCCATCCTGCAGGGGGGGTTTCAGCTTAAAGGGCCACTTCCTGTTTGGGGCCAAGCACTTCCTTCAAGTGACTCACAGGCTCCCATTGGCCCTGTGCTGGGGAGTCAAGGTTGGGATGGAGCCAGGCCCCAGCATGTCACTCTGTGACTGGACCCCAGCTGGGTGACCCTGAGACTGAGCCCTGACCCAGGCTGGAGGTAGGAGACGGGAAATGGAAGACAGGGATTGGATTGTTCTGCGTCACCCAGCCTGTGCGCAGGGGCTCTCACAGGTAGGGCTGACAGCAGAGCTGGTACCACTCAGGGAGACTCGGTGATACTTTCTCTTCCTTACAGGACAGTGAGGTGTGGCAGAAAGAGCACCGGGCCAGGAGACATGGACATCAACCCTGCCCTTCTCTGGGCTTCAGTGTCCATGTCTATCTAATGGGTGTAGGACTTGCTGGCTGTGACATTTTTGTGCAGCTTGATGTGGCAGGGTTTACATTAAGACATTTGGGTGTAAGCCAGGCCTGATGGCACACAGCTAGAATCTCAGCTACACAGGAGGCTGAGGCAAGAGGAGCCCAAGTTCAAGAATAGCCCTGAAAATGTAGGGAGACCCTGTCTCAACATAAGACATCAAAAGGGCTGGGGAGGTAGCCCAGCAGTAGAACATCCCTGGGTTCATCCCCAGTACAAAAGAAAGAGAGAGAGAGAGAGACAAGAGACAGAAAGAAAGATTTGGGTTTGAATTCTAACTTCACCACCTTGTGAGGTCTGCCTACCTCTAAGAACCTCTGCTTTAAAATTTAAATAAACTTTAAGTGGTGTTTCACACGTTAGCTAATTTAATCCTCACATCAGCCCCATGGAGTAGGTTTATTATTATTATTACTATTTTGTACATAAGGAGATTGATGCAGAGGGGTGAAGTAACTTGCTCAAGTTCACACCATGAAAGTCAAGATTCTAACTTGGGCAGTGTGACCCCAGAATCATGCTCTCAATAATATCTTCGCTGCTCAATTGTGGTCTATGGACCTGCAGAATTGGTATCATCTGGGAGCAAGACAGAAATGGAGACTCTCAGGTCCCAGCCTGGAACTACTGAGTCAGACTGCAGCTTAGCAAGATCCCCAGTGGTTTGTGTGCACACTGAAGTTTGAGAAGCCATAGTCTATTTATATTCTCCTGTCACTTAGGCCTTAGGATCATTGTGGGAATAAAGGAAACAAGTGTGTTTTTGTAAATGAAGTGCAGGGATTTCAGGCATGGTGGAAAACCTGGGCACTGGAGGTGCAGAGGTAGGGCTAGGGTGCTCTGGGGTCTGTCTAAGCTGTTTCTGAGCCCAACTTTGGGTGCCTGGTATGAAGCTAAGTCAGAGGTGTGCTTTTTGCTTCCAGAGTCTGAATGGGTTGGGGAAAGTTCTCATGTTGACGCAGGCCCAGGGCTGGGCACTAGGCTGAGACACCATGGCCTTGTGTCCCAGCCCTGGCTCTGCTTCTGCCTCTCTGGGTAACATAGGAAGGCCTTGGCTCTGCCAGTTTCAGTGTCCCCAAATAGGCAAAGTAGCAGCACCTCTGAAGCCTGCAGTGCTGACCCCAAGCCCCTTCCCCTCCCCTCTTCTCCCCATGTCCTGAGACTACCATCTCTCCCCGCAGTTCCTGGGCAGGGGGCTGCCCTGCTGGCTGTGGGAGCTCAGGGAGGGGGGAGGTGATGCATGAGTCACTCAGGCACATAATTGCGGTGCCCCAGATCCCGCCTCCAGCCCACCGGCCCTCCCCCCTTCGGCTGCTTTGGAAGAACAGCTGGTCTGGCAGCTACCTCAGAGAAGCAGGTCCCTGGCAGCAGAAGAGGGCCTCTGCCCCCAGGGTGGCTGGGCTTTGGGTCCTGCTTCCGTGGGCCCTGCAGAGAGGCACAGGTGGTTTGAGAAGCATGCTGTCTGGATTTGGGATTGTTTGGTTTGTGGGCAGCATGTGTGGAAAAAGATTTGCATGCTCCAGGTCCCATGGGCCAGGACTAGATAAGCCACCAGATTCATGGCTTCCCCAGGGCAGGGACCAGCGTGACCCATCACTGGACTCTACATCTAGCACAGGGTGGGCCCAGGCTAGGGGCTCCTTAAGGGCAGGGTGTGGAGGGTAGAAGGCAGGGCAGAGTGATGAAGGATCTCACTGTTTTTGTCCCCTTGTCCCCTTAGGTGTTCCAGTGAAGTGACATCTCCACCTCCGTGGACAGGACACCCTCAGGAGTTCAGCTAGCAGTCACTGGTATGTCTTTTGGGTAAAGAAAAAAGAAATGAAGGAAGAAGAGAGAAAGGAGGTGGAAACCGGCAGCAGAGAGTAGCCCCCTGGCTTCTATGCGATGCCTGCCTCTCCTGAAGGGGAAGAACAGTTATGGAAAAACAGGAGGAGCAGGAACTATTGACCCATTTTATAAGACCCACAGCTCTGGGTGGGGGTCTCTTGCTTGGGACAATGCACATGTACAGGCACTTGTCTAAGGGCTTTCCATGTAATAGTTCATTTAGTCCTTAAAAAAACCCACAGGGTTGGTGTCATGATCCCCCATTATAAAAGAGGAAAGTGAGGCAGAGAGGTGTAAGGATTTGCTCAGTTAGGCACTTGGTAGAGCCAGGTGAGTCTCCTTCCCAGCGGGATGTCTGTTCAAAGCCTTGGGATTCACTGCCTCTCTGGAGTCAAGTGGTAACTAAATTTCTTTGACCTCCAATTTGGGGTTTAATGGGCTCCTAATTCCAGGGAAGATTTGTGTTTTAAGAGAGAATTTAAATTTAATTTAGAACCCTAAAGAAAACAGTGCTTCAGCCCAAGGAATGAATAGCAAGTGGTAGCACTGGAGGCCCTGAGTCATGGAATTGGCTTGGACCTTCAAGGTGGGCTGGCCAGCTCCTGGGATTTTCTTCTTCAGCACTTGAGTAAGGTCAGTTTTCTCTGGTCACCAAAGAAAGAAGTCATATGAAAGAGGTGAAGAAAAATTTAGGTTCTGGGTCCTGAGACATGCCCAGAAGCAGAGACTTCTGCTTTTTGCAGAATACTGTGAAGAAGAGCAATGTTAATGACAGGGATGAAATTAGGATCCTATGCTAAACCTGAGGTCATTTGCACTAGATCTGGTGCAGAAATGTACAGATATCAGAGGTTTAAGAAAAATTTGTGGGAGAAAAGTACTTGAGACTTTTTTTAGTAACTTTTTTTTTCTTTCCTGTAAATTGGAAAAAGCCTAATTATTATTCAAAGGCGGACTTCAGCTCAGGCTCAGGAGTGGTTCTGCAGTCGTGTGGTTTACACAGCTCTGATTAATTCCTTCTTTCCTTCCTTTGCATGTTTCACCAGGTTTTCTGTCAAGCACATAGGCACCTTCTTGGTGCTAGGCCCAATGCAGGGGACACAGACCCCCTATACAAGACTCCTCTAGCTGAAAGTGAACGGGGGACAGGGTGGGGGGTGGCAGGGGTATCTTTTGTCGCCATCACTGGGCACAGGGCAACAGACACTACAGGTCTTCAGAAAATCTTGGCCACCTTGAATAAGAAGCCTCAGTCTGGAAAAGCTCTGAGCCTGGGGGTAGGGCAGCCAGGGTGCAGATGATTACCAAGTGCTGAGGCCTGTGAGTGTTCTCAAGAGCTCCGTCAGATGATGAGGGCAGAGGGAGGACACCCTGGACCTCTGGGGGCAATCAGGCTAAGCCTTGCACAGAGTCCATTAGTTCAGATGGACAAGATTTGGTTGGGGTCGGGGAGGGCTTTCCTGGCAGCTTGCCCAGCCTGGGCACAGGCGTGGAGGTGGGACAGCTGTGTAGCCTGGTGTCCTTGGAGCACAGACTAGGAGGAGGGCCAGCAGGAAGGCAGGCTGGAGAGGTAGGTGTCAGGAAAGGAAGTGAAAGGATTGCTTAGATGGTAGGACCTCCATCCCCGGGCCTGCTTGGGAAGCCTGTTTGTATAGCAACTCTGCTAGTTTACATAAGTAAATAAAATAAATCACTAGCCCCATCCTGCAGGGGTAAACACCAGGCAGAGACAAGGCCCTGGTGCAAGGCCCTGCTAGACTCAGCTTCCTCCTCCCCGTCCCCATTGGGAGGGGGCCCCCCTTCTCTTGGGCCCAGGGAGAAGCATCAGAAAAAGTCACCTCAGGCCCTGTGACTGAGGCTCCTGGGGAAGGCCCCTGGAATCAACTAGAGAGGTGGAGGATGGTGAGTCTGCTCCCTAGGCCCTGGGGCTCCCCATGAGGCCTGAGCAGAGAACTTAGGCCTATTTGCTGGCTCCACCTGGGCCAGGGGGAACCTGGCAGTGCCAGTGGGGGAGGTGGGGCAGAAGACCTCCCTACAATCCTGGAGGCTTAGAGAGAACCTAGAGGTCCCGCAGAGCCTTGCTGGGAGTGCACACACCTGTGGCCCCACTGGAAGGTTGGGCCCACCACTAGGGAGAGGAGGCTAGAGAGAATGGCTCTAGGACTTTGCTCAGGCTGACATGGTCTTAAGACCCCAACTGGATTATTCCAGGATTTCTTGAGAGTACGGTCTTGGGTGATGTAATTCTAAAACTGGTTTGGGGCGCTTGGGAGTTTGAGCTCTGAGATGCTCAGCTCTGCTCTCTGTGAGGTCAGGTTGTTCTTGACGACTACTCAGACGAAGCTGACTGGAATCAGAGAGGTCTGAGCCTGGCCTCTGCCCAGGTGTGTCCCACACATGCAGGTCTCTGTCCTAAGGGCCTTACCTGAGGGAGAGGCTCAGCAGACACCTGGTCCTCAGCCTGGTGCCGGGTGAGTCCTGCCTCCAGCATCCTCTGCTTCCTTGTCTGTGAGTGAGGTGGGGATCTTGGTGATGGCCTGGGAGTTGGTGTGACACTTCAGTGGCCGGACAGCTGTGGAAGCTCTTTGTAAACTGTAAGCACTGTGGTGTGCTCGTGACTGTAGCGGCTATTGCTACAGTGAGGCTGTCTCCCTGCAAGGAAGAGAGGTCCACATCTGATTGTCGGTGAACCCCTCAGCTCCAGGGGAGGCGGGAGGCCCCTGAAATTCACAGTAAGGGAGCAAAAGAGCTGGAGGGACAGGACAGATGGTCCCCTGAATGCGCAGTTTCAGGGAGGACACCGCCCCTTCCTGCTGGGGGACCATTTCCTAGGGAGGCCAGCCAGGAGGGTGGGAGAACTGGAGAGCCACACAGGAGTAAGATCTGGTCTTCCTTGGCTTCCAGCCTTTCTCCCAGAGAAAGAGCAATCGAGGTCTCTTGGGACAGAAGTGTTGGGTAAATAGGAGGCCCTGACATCATTGTGTAAGATTCATAATGACCCTAATTATGGCATGATTGATTCTTGGAGAGCTCTGGCTCTCAGCTCTCAGAGTAACTTTTCCCCAAACAATGAGCAGGTGTGATGAGGGCGGGTCCCACCTGGCGGTCTCCCCTCCCAGCCCTTCTACCCTTAGCCCCGAATCCTCCTTCACTCCTCCTCCAGCCCCCCACCCCCACCTCACTGCAGCTGCTTTGGGTACTTAGACTCTCTTCCTATCCTAGGTCTGGCCACCTTCTCTGCCAAATTCATTAGAATCTACGGTTTTCTCTGAGGCACAGAGTCGTGAAGGAACTTACCTAAGGTCACGCAGTGAGATGGTGACAGCCTAGATGTCTTGATTAGAGCCATCAAACGATGCCGGCACTAGGAACATATGAAATTTCTAAGTGTGGCCAAAGAGCTAACTACAGAAGGCTGGAGAGCAGTAGTGTGGGCTTGGGATTGGTTAGCCCCATAGTTCTCTGGGTGGACTTTTTATCAACCCCAGGGAAAGGGGAGTCCCAGAATCAGTGCTGTCCCCCAACCTCCAGCCCTGGCACTGGGGCCAAAGATTTGTTTTGGAGGTTTGTGTTTGTGTTTTGGAAAATGGCCTGGTTGGTGAACTGTTTGGGGAGTGTCTTGCTGTCCTGGGTCCCTGGAGGGCAGCAGGGCCTACCAGCACCGCTGCATGGAGCCCAGCCGGGGCCTAACTTGCTGGCCAGAGCTAGGGATCCTGCTCTAGGAGCCCCGATCACTCCCTCTTGGCCTTTCAGGCTTACTCTGTACTGTCCCTGCACCTGAAGTGTCCTTCCTTCCTTCTGAGTTCTGCTTAGATCCCACCCTCTCCAGCAGTCTCCACGCATAGGCCAGTACTGCAACCCAAGGACACTCAGAGTTCTGGGGTCCAGAGGAGACCTGGCCCGTCAGGGAAGGCTTCCAGGAGAGGGGCTCCCTGCCTTGAGGTGGGGGTTGAGGACAGGCAGAGGGGCTCCCACTGGCACACTGGGTGGGAACAAGGGTTGGATGATCAGCAACGAGGACCACACAGGGGTCCTAGCCATGCTCCCCAAGCTCTGTGTGAAGAAGTCTCTGTGGCCCTGACCCTGTGGCACCGGGGGTTGTTCTAGGTGAAGTTTGGGTCATTACTGAGTATGTTTATCCAGGACCCCTTGGTCACTACCAAAGATGGCAGAGGCCCTGGGGGGGGGGGCAGACTGAGCAGGCAGCTAACCTTGCTGTGCACCCTCATTAAGCTTTAAACCAATCCCCAGGAGGACAATTCACTGCCAGGACTCCCAGTGATTTTGCCCTAGGAGCAGAGAGGGCCCTTCCCCAGCTGGAGCAGGAAGGACTGTGGGACATGTCCTTCTGTCCTTGAACACTTTCACCTCGGCCTTGTTCTTGGGGATGTGGAGAGAGCAGGTGGCTAATGGGTTTTAGAAGCCATGCTAGAAAGGCCCTTGGAGATCTCTGGAGGTGTTCAAGGTCCCCATATAAGGGTGGGACAGCAAAGACCTGAGGCTTTGGGGGGTCACCCAGCCTGCAGGTCAACCCAGCCTGTGGGGACTGAGCTCAGCCTCAGACCTTTAGGCCTGGGGCTGGGCTGGGGTTGAGGCCCCAGGGAGGGGAGCCAAGGCCAGGGAGGAGGGAGGATTTCCTTTGCTTGCTCCCCTCCTCCCCCTGGGGCCCTGGCAGGCTACAGGAGAAGGTCAGGCCTCCACCTCCCCCAGCCCTGGCACCCCTCAGGGGTTTTCCTCTTTCCTCCTGGGTTCCTGGCCTCACTCCCTGCCTGAACGTCCCCGCTGCCAACCAAAACACTAAGCTCTGCCCTCTGAAGCGCAGTCCACTGTTCCACAGATGCTGCAGCTGGCAGATGCGGAAGGGGGTGGAAATGTGGGTAGACCTCCCTCTGCTGGTGCCATGAGAAGTCTGCCCTTCAGAGTCACCGGCCCTGGGTTCAAATCTTCCCTTCTCCATGATTAG